GGAATTTGTTAGAATAAGTGACCAACGCTAGAGGGGGGTGAATAGCGTTTGATCGCAGAAATCGCAGGAATAAAAAATTAAGAACGTGAAAAGTAAAGAGCGTAGAAAGCGTAAAGGGAGCACACCAAGATTTATACTGGTTCACCACAACGTGTGGCTAATCCAGTCTCCCGAGAGACTCTCTCGAGCTACACTACTTCCGTTAAGCTTACGGGTGCTTAACAAACCGTTACAACCTGAGAACTCGAGTCCCACGAGCCTCAACAACCTTGCTCGGAGATACCGCACTCCAAGACTTAAACCCGAAGGAAAATACCTTTCCTTTGTACAACCAAGGGAAACAAGCTTCCCTTAACGTGTATACAACACTAAGACACTCAAGAACAAGACTCTCCTTAAGAGTGGATATTGAGTAAAATATATACGCTCAAGAACAACTCAAACTTCACACGAATTGACTCTAAAAGCTATGGAAAATGATGTTGTTTGAATGCAATGATAATATGAATATTGTGAAGTGAATTGGTATGTAAAGCAGACCTAAACACCCCTTTTTATAGTGCCAAAATAGGCTCCAACGGACCAATGCATTAAAGGGGTTATTGGCTTGATTTATGGGGTTGATTAAATGAGAATCTGCAGGATATTGGCTTCCCATCGATGTTTGGAACTTACCCATCGCTGGTAAGCCAATTTTCCTTCAGTTTTGAAGCCAACGGTCACCTACCCATCGATGGGTAAATTCTTCCCATCGCTGGGTGAGAGGTTGACTTCCGTACACGGAAAGAATCAGCCTTAAATGACTCACAACGGTCATGCCTAAGCAGCGATGGGTATGCCCTCCCATCGCTGGGTTCCCATCGATGGGTAAAGGTTCCCATCGCTGGGAAGGGGCATTCTCCCTTGTGATAATGTTGGACCAAGGCTTGAACAGCGATGGGTAGAACTTCCCATCGCTGTTTGGCATGGTTCTGGAAGTTGGTTTGGCTTAGGGACCGCTTACCCATCGATGGGAAGATCTTCCCATCGCTGGGTGGGTGGTTAGCCAAAAACCCATGGTCTTTGCCTTAACCACGGCCTAGCCAACCGATGCAAAAACCGACCGAAAAATCCAAAGTTCTCCAAAATAAAAACCACGTGTTTAAAACACTTATTTGATGTATTTGGCTAAGAAATTAAGTAAGTTACTTTAGAAACCACGTCATTTGAGTAAAAACCACGGCTAGCTAAGTTTACGTCGTTTTGCATGGTTTTTGTCAAACGACCAAAAGCGAGAGATGGTTTTCAAGGTGTTTTTGTTGGAGAACCGTTTAAACATGCCAAAGAGTGAAAACCAATCATAAAAAGTTGAAAACCACTCGGTTGGTTCGGACGCCAAAAACCAAAGCCGATAACCGAGAGCCGAACGCCGGTTTCTGAAACCCGAACGCTGGATGGCTTGGTTTTTGGTTTGGGCGAAAACCAAGTGTTTTTAATGACTTAAACATGTTTGAAAATCACTTTTATGATGTGATAAAATATTTTAGCCTAAAGAGCCAATGCGTGAGGGCTGGGTCGGTCTTGATCACAATTATGACCGACTCAACAATACTAAAGAATGCGGTCTTCGTTCTTGGTCTCTTTTAGCTCTTGTTCTTTATCTTTGTTCTTCGCCTTGTATATTCAATGTTTGTCTTGATCACGGCGGTTTGGTATTATCAAAACCTTGATATCAATAATGTTTGTCTTGATCACGGTGGTTTGGCATTATCAAAACCTGTTACAAAAACGAACACGGCTTTAGTACGAAAACGTGACAAGCCCGTGTTTCAACAGAATTGACTATGATGAAACCTTTTCTCCAGTTGTTATGCTGAAATCCATTCGAATAATGCTTGCGATTGCAGCCTATTACGATTATGAAATTTGGCAGATGGACGTCAAGACGGCTTTCCTTAACGGGAACCTCAAAGAGGATGTCTTCATGACACAGCCTGACAGTTTTCAAATTGCTGGTCAGTCTGCCAAAGTTTGTAGACTGCAACGTTCAATCTACGGATTGAAACAAGCATCTGGGAGTTGGTACATATGTTTCGATGAAACCATTTCTAGTTTTGGTTTCGAGAAGAACTCTGACGAATCTTGTGTATACAAGAAGGTCAGTGGGAGTGTAATAGTATTCCTAATCTTATATGTCGATGACATATTGTTAATGGGTAACGATATTCCCGCTCTCACTTCTGTAAAGACGTAATTGAGCGAGAACTTCTCCATGAAAGACTTAGGGGATGCTAGTTATGTCCTTGGCATAAGAATCTACCGAGATAGATTAAGAAAGTTAATA